AAAAAAAAAAAAAAAAAAAAAAAAAAGAAGCAAGGAGAATGTAATAGTTAACAGGAAATTTTGCCATCTGTCTTCTGTTCTCATCAGCCACATGCAACTCTTGCCTTGTCCTTTTTCCACTGATCCGTTTTATGGCATAAAGGTATTCGACTTTGGAATCATATTTGACATTTTAAAATAATAAGAATCTTGATTTCTTGCATTACTTATTCACCCCTCCCTTCATATTTTAGAAATACCTTTAAAGGGCTCAATTCTCAGGATGAAATGAAGGCAAATCACGTTCCCATCTTCAAGGAAACCAACCCCCCCACACCTGTGCAGCATCTGCCCGGACTCTCCTTTTTCCTCCAATGTTTTGTCAGCTCAGGTCTCTTCTCTCACTCTTTGATTTGCATTTGCCATCAACATTAGTGTTCTGTCCTCAGAATAATTATTTTCCCTTTATGATTTTTCTTGGGATTTTTGTATATTTCCATAGTGTCAACAAAGACTACATTAATTATTTCAGCATGGGCACAGTCTAAACATTCCATTACTGTTGGCCAAGTTTAAATTTCTAAATCTATGGGTGTCTTCAGTCTTTCCCTTTGCCTGATCTTCCCTTCCAAATGACTATTCAGGTTGTGGACGTCTATCTCTCCTTTGATGATTTCTCAACCTTTCAAATCAATATTCAAAACAAAATTTGGTATCTTCTGAAGTTGTTTAGTCCTGCTGAATTTCTTTTCTTGATGAATTATTTTATTCTCCACTGAGCTGTCTAACCCAGACACTCAGTCATTCTTGACTACACTTACTTCATGCAAGTGATACAATTAGCACTTTGTATCTAATTTGTTCTTGAATCCTACCAATGGAGGTATCTGTGGAATCTACTCCCCTGTTTCCTAGTCAAATCCTATCTCAAGTTGAAATAAATAGCTACTCCCCACATTTGGAACTCAATTTAGCTACTCTCAAATTTTACAGGATAATATATTTCAAAGTGACCTCTCATTATAAAATTCTTATCACTCTTAGAAAGAATATATGCCATGGAGGTGTCTTCCATGTCATAGAAGTGGTGGAAATAATACTACAAAATATTATATGATTGCTAACGCTGATGCTGATGCATCTTTAAGTAATGCAAGGATTAGACTTGGTTTTGACAAGATTAGAATCAAATTTTCCATATTACCATGGAAGTAATATCGATAAACTACGATTACATAATTCCAGTTTACTCTGGCTAGTATTTCCTATTAGCCAACTATTAATATAATTCAATTTTAATTATTAATTTTATTTCTATAGTAGAAGGATTTTAGTATGGGTTAATTGTTGCTCATATTACTATTTGATCTATGTGTAAAAGAGCTACATAAATAAACCTTTTAAAAACTACCTACAGGAAAAAGAACTATCAGAGCAAACTATATTCTAGAGTTTTAGTTTGCCTAGTTTATGAATACTTAATTGAACTCGAAAGTTCTACCTTTTTTCCATGAAAAATAACGCTCATTTATAGATTCACTTTAAAAGGCCAAGGTAAAACAAGATAATATTGTGGGGTAGATCATTTTTGTTAGAAACTTTAGTCCTGTACAAAAACTTGAAGGAATTAAAAAACCCTAATAAAGAAGGCCTAGTATCCAAACTTCTAAACATTTCAAACCCTTGAAGTTTCTGGCTCTCACCTCAGAGCTCCCACATAATGACCCTCATAACTCATGTCAGCAGGGGCTGCTTCCGAGGGTTGTCATAGCTCTGCAGTGTCATTCTTCAATTTCCTCGTGTGTTCATGGGGTAGTGAGGAATAAAAAGTCTTGCCGGTTACCACAATATGCAGGGAAAGCCAGTTTCTAGAGTTTATATCAGATGAATTTTTCTGGCTACATACTTAACCACAGATATTATATATTAAATGCAATAATTCCATGTCACAATTTAAAGAGCTGATATTCTGAACCTAAAAGATGCCGGCATTTTAGAAATGCTAAACTTGACATTAACCGTATAATTAACTTAGTGATTTAGAGGTAGGAATACCTTACACAGTGCATTTTAGAATACATTGCCAGATATTTAATCATTTTTATCAAAAGTCTCCAAAAATACTTCAAATCACTGTTTCTTTTCCAAGTTTCTCCTTAATCCCCTGTTTAGAAAGGAGAGTATTACATCACTTTCTTTTTACCTCAAGTAATATAGTTTTGGTCAAACATCAGCTATATTTCGTTAACATACTTGGTACCCATTTTGGCCCTTTTATTGTGACTTTCAGCTTAAGAAGGAACTTTGAGCAATAATAGGAGCGTCACTGTGAAAAGGATTATTTTCCAGATCTCCCTTTGCTATTTGGAGATCAGTTAGTTGGCATCAGAAAAGATAAGGCAATGTCTAATTACAATTATAGCAAGGCATGTTGTTAGAGGCCAGAGATATCAAGAGAGAATGTAGAGAAACATTAAGAAGAAAAGCCAAAGGGAGGTGCCTGTGGCTCAGTGGCTGGGGCACCGGCCCCTTACACCCAGGGTGGCAGGTTCAAACCCGGCCCTAGCCAAATGGCAACAAAAAAATTGCTGGGCGTTGTAGCAGGTGCCTGTAGTCCCAGCTACTTGGGAGGCTGAGGCAAGAGAATTGCCTAAGCCCAGGAGCTGGAGGTTGCTGTGAGCTGTGATGCCCCAGCACTCTACTGAAGGTGATAAAATGAGACTCTGTCTCAAAAAAAAATAAAGAAAGAAAGAAAGAAAGAAAGAAAGAAAGAAAGAAAGAAAGAAAGAAAGAAAGAAAGAAAGAAAAGTATAATAAAGAACTATTTGAAAGAGCTCTAACTAAAACAAATATCCTCACAGAATGTAAGAATATCTTAACAAGCTAGAATTGACCCAAGGTGCCTGGAGTCTCAGATGTCTGTGATCGACAGTTGGTCTAGAAATGATAACCTTGTTAACCCAACATGATTCTGAATTTAGAAGTACACTGAAGAGGGTCAGTCCTCCTCATTTTCCTGTGGAGAAATAAGAAACAGGCTTTTTTTTGTGTATGTGCTTCAACAACCTCTCTCATTTGAGAGCAGGAGATGAAATCCTCATACACTAAATGGATTCAAACAGTGGTCTGTTTATTTTTTTCCTGTGGATTTTGTGTCAACTGTTAACAAGTGTCAGTCATCTGGATACCATTGAGAATGACAAAAACAATGCATTTTGCAGACTTAGCCAGATACCAACTAAGCAAAACATCAATTAAAACTTATACCTTAAAAATTACAAGCTACACATATTTCATTTATTTTTTTGTTATTGTTGCTCAAGGGTCTTATTTGCATGTAAACAAAGCAGGAAAATAAACTAGCCAACCATTTTACTAAGGCAAGATGGTTAAGCAACTAAAATCGGATAAGTCATAGGATGGATTTACTTAATTGAAACAACAAATAAAAAAATCAGAGTTATCTAAATAGTTTTGAAACAGACATAAAAAATTAAAGTAATGATTTCTACTGGGCTATTCTCAGCTAAATTTCTGTTAATACGGTAGGATGGAGAATTTGCAAGTACATATAGACATTTTTGGAAACTATTTTTCAAAAATCATGTTTCACTTTTATTCCTTTTTTTTCTCTTTTCTCTTTCCAAGTGCAGAATCCAAAAATAAATGAAGAATAATCAAACAATATGAGTGACACTTGAGTAAAAAATACTGCTATTATTTTCTGAGAATAAAATTGTGGAATTTCTGAGTCCAAAGATGATGAAAATTTAGAGACTCTTACTATCTCTTACGGTGAGTGCAGCACAAGTTTTTGTTGTTGTTGTTGATGTTATTACAGCAAATAAAATTTCTCATTTTCCTTGGTTTGCTTATTTTTACTGATTTACAACTGAACAGTGATTTCTCATTGGCATAACTCAGAAGCTCTCACCCTATGAATCAAACTTTGCCTATGACCATTTCCATGACTAAAGTTTGGCTGCAGTGCAGACACCCCCATCCATTAGTGTATTGTCCTTGTGCAATACCACGGCACAGTCAGGTAGCTGGAGCAGCATCCTTATGGTGTGAAAAGTCCACTATTTACTGCCAAGACCTTTACAAAACAAAATTGGTAAGCCTTGAAATAAAATGAGTGTTAGCTTATTGTTGTCACAATCCCTGATATACAGATTCTCCCTAAATATTAGATATGTTATTATGATAATGACTGCTATTCCTTAATGATTAAGTATTTTTAGTTAATTTTTTTTTAATTATTATGGATACATAAAGAGTTGTATATATTTATGGTGTTGATGTGATTTTTTTTTTTTTAATATGGAATGCTTCACAAATTTGTGTGTCATCCTTGCGCAGAGGCCATGCTGATCTTCTCTGTATCGTTCCAATTTTAGTATGTGTGCTGCCGAAATGAGCACTGCGATGTTTTTTGTGTGTTTGTTTTTGGGCTGGGGCCAGATTTGAACCTGTGACCTCCAGTATATGCCCTACTCCTTTGAGCCACAGGCACTGCCCTATGTGATGTTATGATACATTGTGCATTGTGTATTGTGCATGCATTGTGCATTGTGTAACAATCAAATAGGGGCAATTCAGGTAACCTTTACCTTAAGCATTTATCATTTTTTTGTGTTAGAAACATTCGAATTCCCCTCTTATAGTTATTTTAAAGTACACAATAACTTCTTTTGCCTTTTGAAAATAGAATGATTTCATTTGTTTTTATTTTTTCCTTTGTTCATTTATCTTAAACTTTTTTTTGTCTTTTTGAAACTGAGCCTCTATCACCTCAGCCAGAGTGCAGTGGCATTATCACAGCTCACTGTAACCTCAAACTCCTGTGCTCAAGTGATCCTCCTATCTCAGCTCCCGAGTAGTTGGGACTACAGACACACACTACTCCATCTGGCCCATTTTTTTCCATTTTTCTGTCGAGACAGGAGCTTGTTCTTGCTCCCAGGCTTGTCAAAAACTCCTGACTTCAGAAAATCCTTCCACCTTGGCCTCTCAAAGTACTGGGATTATAGGTTTACGCCACCAATCCCGACCTCCTTTGCTTATTTATAAAACTTGAATATTATGGGCGGCATCTGTGCCTCAAGGACTAGGGTGCCGGCCCCATATACTGGAGGTGGTGGGTTCAAGCCCTGCCTCAGCCAAAAACTGCAAAAAAAAAAAAAAAAATTATAAAAAAAGAAATATTAAAGCATATATTTTCCCTTTAACTTATTGAAGCTGATTGGGTCATATAAGAGGGATTTTCCCCCCAAATTTGTATACTCACTCTGTCATTGTTCTATTAATTTATTAAATTTGTCATTTTAATTTCTGGATTTTTTTAATACATTTTATGTTTTCTCTTTTATAAAGACTTTTTATAATTTCCAGGTTTATCCATCCCCAAATTCTTTGAATTTTTTTGCTAATGCATTATTTACAGAGTACTGTGGGGAAAAAAAGACATCCTAATATTTGAAGCCTTCATTTAATACACCCGTCACAATCCCTGATACACAAATTCTCCATAAATATTAGATATATTATTATGATAATGACTGCTATTCCTTAATTATTAAGACCATACCCTCAAGTGGACTGGATTAAGTGTCTCTTTCTATATTTATTAACTGTGTTACTTTGGGCTAATCAAAACCTCTGCAAATCTTAGTTGTTTTAATCTATAAAGCAAGCAAAATTAGTATGTACCAAGGGAGACGTTGTGAAAGGCCAAATCCAGTATTACTGTGTTTAACATTATAAAGTATTATAAATAGTACACTTTAAACTTTAAAAATACCCTCTATACTGCTGACTGCACACAATTTGTTACACCTAGTATTTTTGTTCCCAAATTTTTCTTACTTTTCTTCGTTAGTTTTATAGGCTTTTGATCGATTTGTTAGTGTTTTTAACAATGTTTAAATCACTTTTATCTATTTTGCTATTTTTTATTATTAATTTCTTAAATTCCATAAATAAATTTATAGTTCTCCTTTTTCCCGATGTCTAAATTTTTGTTTTTGTTCTCATATTTACTTTAAAGTTAATTTAATTTTTGTATTTCTAAACTAATATCAAGATTTTCCCAACTACTCAAGAAAAGACAAATTCCCACAAATTTAAAATGCTGTACTTTTTTTTTTTTTTTTTGAGACAGAGCCTCAAGCTGTCCCCCTGGGTAGAGTGCCCTGGCATCAACTCACAGCAACCTCCAACTCCTGGGCTCAAGCGAGTCTCCTGCCTCCGCCTCCCAAGTAGCTGGGACCACAGGCGCCTGCCACAGTGCCTGGCTATTTTTTTTTTTTTTTTGGTTGTGGCCATCATTGTTGTTTGGCAGGCCCAGGCTGGATTCCAACCCGCCACCTTAGGTGTATGTGGCTGGCACCTTAGCCACTTGAGCCCCAGGCACCAACTCAAAATTCTGCATTTTTAAAACTACATACCTATGAATCCAAATTTCATTTACCCTTTGACCTAATATTTATTTAACAGGATTTAAAAATATTTAGGCTCCAAAAAGGTCCTTGTTATTAATTTCAATTATTTTCTAAAATCAGCAATTAGACTGTGGACATTAAAAAAAAAAAAAAAAGAAAAAAAGAGCTTGGATTTTTTGCTGGAGTCTGAGAATCAGTAGAGTTGGAGAGGAACGGCTGTGATTGCAGACTGTTTTCTCCTCCCCAAGGTACCGTCAGTGGGTTGATTAGATCATTGGCCCTCTAGCTGAAACTTGTCTCTCCTTCATCTGAGGGAGTGCCTGGACCACATGAGTGAAGGACGTGGAGAACAACTTCAAGGGCACAGGGTCTCTTTCTCAATCAAAATCTCCAAAGCCACCTTTGCTTACAGAGAGCAGGTCAGGGTCTCAAGCATTTCCAAACACCCTGCATCCCATTCTCAACCAAGATCAAAATCCAGGTCAAGGTCAGGGATGCACTCTCCCCGATGTTACACTGGATCCACATCCTTCTCTCTCTCTCTCTCAATAGTTGACGATCTCCAAGGAGGTGGTGCACACTCGAATACCGGCAGTGAAGGGCAGGAGCCATTCTCTAAGGTCTCACCTGAGGAGATGTACAGGCATCCGGTGAATCCAGTTCCCATCACTTGTCTTGGAGTGGTCGGCCTCCATTTGTGCACAACCCGGAGGGAGAACTTGGTGAAGTATTTTTCCCCTATACGGACCACCGAATGGTGTCAGTGTAGTTTATTTTATTTTTTATTTTATTTTATTTTATTTTTTTGAGACAGAGCCTCAAGCTGTCCCCCTGGGTAGAGTGTCCTGGCATTACAGCTCACAGCAACCTCCAACTCCTGGGCTCAAGCGAGTCTCCTGCCTCCGCCTCCCAAGTAGCTGGGACCACAGGCGCCCGCCACAACGCCTGGCTATTTTTTGGTTGCAGCCATCATTGTTGTTTGGCGGGTCCGGGCTGGGGATTCGAACCCGCCACCTTAGGTGTACGTGGCTGGTGCCTTAGCTGGTTGAGCTATAGGCGCCGAGCCGTCAGTGTAGTTTATGATCAGAACGGGGTGATCTCTAGGATTTGCTTCTGTGTATTTTGAGAGAATAGATGATTCAAAGGAGGCTATGAAAAGGGAAAGGGGAATAGAGCCGATTGTAGGAGAATTGTGTGTATTACTCCATCACCTGGAGAGTGCACACACCTGCACCAGGCATCTGCAAAGACAGGCCAACTGCAGTGGCTGCAGTGGTCAAGGTGGAGGCAGATGTGAGATTCTTGCTGTGATAGAGGATAGGATCCTGGGTATGATGGGCATGAAGGCCATGGTTACCAGGGCAGAAGAAGGTCACCTCCCCTTTACTGTAATCCATGCAGACGTGATCAAGATTTCCTTCCTGTAGTCCAAGACTTTACTGATAATGGAATGGTTGCAGTTAAGGATATATATTTTTCTTGTTTTCTCTCTTTCTCGTGTGTGTGTGTAAAACTGAAGTTTCCCATGCTTCCAATCCTTCCTACTCCTTAAAAAGAACACTTAAAACATTCCTGTGGTTTATTTAGCATATGCAGTTTATGGATTGTGCTGTTTCCCTCTCCTTGTATTATACTCTTAAAGATGTAACTGTTGCCATTTTGAGTAAAAAAAAGAACCCTGATGTTAAGTTTGTAAATGACTTTTCTTTGCTTTCACAGAAAATAAACTCCTAGCTAATCAAATGAGAAAAGAAATAATCTTTTAAAAGCTTCTTTTGTGTTAGATGTTGTATTAGAGATCTGCATTTATAATGAACTCCTTTTATAAACTTTTTTTGGGGGGGACAGAGAGTAACACATGAGGTAGTTCAGTCATCTCAGGTTGGTCTGGGGTCAAATCGTTGAGTTTAGAAAGTTTGAAACTAAAGAAGAACACTTGGGCATTATTCTGAAGAATGGTATTTTAAGACCTTAAAAATTAAGTCACTTTTTAGAGCTGAAAAGCTTGTGGACTCCATGGATTAGAAGTACATCTGTTAAACCTTAAAAAAAGGTTTGAAATGTGTGGAGTCACTCTTTGCAACCTATAATACAAATTGGTTTATGGTTCTTAGGGGATATTAAGGATTCTCCCTTTATATAACAAAACCGTTGCCCATTTTTAAAACTGGGTTATTGTTCTTCTGCTGTAGAGTTGTGTGAGGTCCTTATATGTTTTGGATATTAAACCCTTTGTTAGAAGAACATTGATTAAATCCAGACAAAAACCACACTACTTAAATGTTCTATCCCAAATACACTACCCCAAATTTTATATATTACAAACCCCAAATTTTATATATTACATAAAATATGGAGGGCACATCTTATGTAATATAATAAAATAAACCAATGGGTTTTTTTTTTATCAGAAGATATAACATTTTTAGAATACTTATTTAGCCTCAATATTCTCTTATACATGCAAATCAAAAATGCCTGCTTCTTAAGCTTATTTTTTGTACCTATTTTGCCAGAAAGTGAGAAAAATACATTGAACAGAAACTGCCAGTAGAATGAATTTTTTTGCCTATGCATTTTTTAATTTTAAATAAAGTTCAATTCTCTGATACTTGATTCATATGTATTAGATATCAATTATGAATTATATTTTTATCATAGACTAACGTCTTATTCTATTGAAATCTTTTCCACTTGAATTCTTTTGCCTTTTATTTTCAAATTAACTTTTCTCTTCCTTTTAATTATTTGGTAATTCTTGGGGCTTTCCTTGAAATCTCCCTCCTGACCTTAACTTTGGCTTGTCATTTCGTTTCCAGCATGTCTTTGTAATCTATATTGTATGATTTTTGCTCTTTTTTGTCATATAACTTAATACTCTTTGGTTTGCACAACTCTGAAATATTTCTGGAAATCTAGAAGGCCATGTGTATGTGCAGGGCTATGCACAGGACACCTGAGAAGGACACCGTTTCTCATGT